ATATGTTAGTTGTACATTACAACTTGCGGAGATGAACTACTCTACAATATAAAAGGAGTGTTTAGCAGCAGTTTTGGGTATTGCGAAACTTCATGCATATCTACATAATTCTTGAACGTTACTAAAAGATGATCATGCTGTAATTACTTCATTATTGGAGTAAAAAAACTGGGCTGGTTATATTGCTCAGTGGGCTTTGAAGCTTTAGATATATCACTCGGTGAGTTTTATGGCTAATACTGATGCCCTTTCTCCTTCTTCGTTCTCTTTTCATATTTTTAACGAGCTTGTTGTTTTTACATTTGTGGATTTTTTGGACAAGGATTCCATGCTGTTGGCATTTGCTGTACTTGATGTTTAATATCCACAAGGTGCAGAACAAGATTTATCTTCTCTTGACAAGGTTCGTGAAGCTCAAAAGATTGAATTATGGATTCGAAAGTTTTGTGATGGGTTTGAAAATCTTGTATCATTTGCTAATGACTTGCCATTTTGGCATTTACATTCTTAATATTGCCTTAAAGATAGTTTTCTTTATTTTGTGGAAATGGATCCTGATGATTATTTATGTTTGGTGGTGCTTTAGATCTTTATTCTATGCTTTCTCCACGCTTACCGTGATTCTCCTCTATGTGGGCATATAGGATTGATCAAGAAGCTACGTAGGTCTTTCTATTGGCCAAAATGTGACATAATGTTATCTAGTATGTGCATAATTGTGTTTATTGCTAAGCTCGTAATACTCCCCCTCGTACTACAGAAGGACAATTGGAGTCAATTGCAATTTCTCGTCCATTTGAGTTGATGATGTTTGATCTGATGGGGCCTCTTCCATGGTCGACTATTAGCAATGAGTATCTCATTATTATTTTTTATTACTTGACTCATTTAGTGGAAAGTTATACTTTTGCTAGTGTGTTTGCAATTGCTGTTAGGTACTTTTTCCTCAATCAAGTGGTGTTCCAACATTCTTGTCCGGAGTGAATTCTTTTGGATAATAGTCTTGCATCTATGGTTGAGGCATTTTATGTTTTAATGTCTTAGTGTAAGGAATCAACTCGCCGAGGTGTCGTAGGCTAAAGGAACCCCGAAAGCATGACCAAAATGACAAAGAGTTCATCGGATGGGACCAAGTCGAAGATCGAATCCAAGACCGACTCTAGGACCGAGTTCGAGATAGAGTCCAGAATCGAGTCCGAGACCGACTCGGGGACCGAGTTCGAGTCCAAGTTCGAGACCGAGTTCGAGACGGAGTTCGAGATCCGAAATCGGGTCCGAGACCGAGTCCGAGGTCGAGTCCGAGGTCGGGTCCGAGATCGGGTCCGAGATCGAGTCCGAAATCGAGTCCGAGACCGAATCCGAAGTCGGATCTGAAATCGGGTCCGAGATCGAGCCAAAGACTAAGTCCAAATACTAATACGGGTCAAGGGGTGAAAGCCCAAAGCGTGCATCTCCCGGGGGGGGGGGGGGGGGGGGGCTCCAAAGGGTTCCCAAAATTTAATAGGGATAGTGAGGTCCAGGAACCAGTTTTGAAGGGACTCTCCAGTTGGGCTTCCAAACCGACTTGAGGTTGAGACTGGGACCGAGGGGCCTTGGGTGGGAGTGAGCATGGACTTGGCTGGTGCCGGAGGGGCCATCCAAGGAAGTGCTCAAGAGCAGCTCCCACTCCCGAAAAGGAAACCGATTGCGGTGCTCCTGGCTCATGTGGAGTGGTGCCCCACTTGAGTACCATGTGGCTCATTGGTCCTCGCCCTTCCTAGGGGCTTGGGCCTTCCTTCGGGATGGAAGTGGGGGGGTAGAGGTACCCATACCGAGCCGCTAGGCCACGGTGTTTCGCCCCAGCGTCCCGAAGCAAGTGTTGCACTCAAGACTTGGGATTTAGAGGGTCCCATGATCAAGTCTTGTGGTACCAAGGGATGTTAGGAACCTGGAAGCTTGGTGTGCTTGGCTGCTTGTGCTTGCGGGGAGTGTAGCCGAACCTTAAGTTCAATCTAACCCGGGGAGGGGGATTGGGAGTGATTTGGGAATCCGTGGATGGATGGCTAACACTCCGTTGCTTGTGCAGTGAGTAGCTGAGACCAAGTAGGAGCTGGTACCATAGGCGAGAACCTTGGCAAGGGAACTTAGCAAAAGCCAAGGCGGTGTTGGACAGATAGACGAGGTAAGCTAGCAAATTGGAAAGGAAAAATTTGTGGCTTACACTTAGTTGGGGATATGCTACACTTTTATAAGTGTTTATCATTCATAGTCAGATGGTTTGGTGAAATGGCTTGTTCAGATCTTTAAAAAGATGATTGTAAAGTATGTGAATTTTCAACATTTAAATTGAGATGGTTATTTACCGTCTCTTCGATATGCATATGTTACAATGGTGCAAAGTTTTGTTGATGCTTCACCATATAACTTTTATATATTTATGATTTGATATTATCAACGGAGTTGAGTTTACCTTCACGATTGCCACAAGCTGTTAATGCTAGGTTTTGGGATTAATATTTGATGAGCATTCTTCCACTTGTTCAAGCAGAGGCTGCCAAACACTTGACCCGTGTACAAGTGTGTAGTGCATGTGATCATGGGATGAGATTTGGATATACTGTCACCCTAGATCTTTGGAACTTTGGGTGATAAATAAGGATAAAATAGCCACTAAGAGTTCTCTCATCAAGCAATTGCCCCTTTTCCAGTTGGCTTAAGGGGAGAGAGATAAGGTGTGCTGCAGTTGGTATTGATTCCCATTGATTAGTGGCTACTTAAAAATATAATATACCCTTGAGCAAGGTATATTCTTACCCCTAAATTTGAAATTGTACATATTAGGTATCCATGCATACGTCCTTCCTCTTGTGTGGAGTATCCATCCCCTAAATTTAAAATCGTACATATTAGGTATCCATGCATACGTCCTTCCTCTTGTGTGGAGTATCCATTGTGGAACTGCGGTACAAGTAATAGTATGGAATTCCTCTTGTGTGGAGTATGCACTGTGGAATTGCGGTACAAGTAATAGTATGGAATAGTTGGTCTACACAATGGAAGGATGTGTGGAGTATCCACTGTGGAACTACGGTACAGGTAATAGTATGGAATAGTTAGTCTATACAATGGAAGGATTGGTACAAGTAATAGTATGGAATTCCTCTTGTGTGGAGTATCCACTGTGGAATTGCGGTACAAGTAATAGTATGGAGTAGTTGGTCTACACAATGGAAGGATGTGTGGAGTATCCACTGTAGAACTACGGTACAGGTAATAGTATGGAATAGTTAGTCTACACAATGGAAGGATTGGTAGATTAAGTGCGAAAATGGAGGTGCTAGTTCCCCTTGGCTCAGTAAGGGTTGTTAGTTAATAGTCAATGAGAACATTGACATCTCTCAAAGGATTGGTAAATCTCATCAAGCAGTAAGGGTTGTTAGTTAATAGTCAATGAGAACATATGGAATAGTTAGTCTACACAATGGAAGGATTGGTAGATCTCATCAAGCAGTAAGAGTTGTTAGTTAATAGTCAATGAGAACATATGGAATAGTTAGTCTACACAATGGAAGGATTGGTAGATTAAGTGCGAAAATGGAGGTGCTAATTCCCCTTGGCTTAATAAGGGTTATTAGTTAATAGTCAATGAGAACATTGACATCTCTCAAAGGGGGGTGAGTGTAGATAAATGAGGATAAAATAGCCACTAAGGGCTCTCTCATCAAGCAATTGCCCCTTTTCCCCTTGGCTTAAAGGGAGAGAGATAAAGTGCACTACAAAATGGGACAATAATAATATTATAGCCCCCATAATCAGCCATCTACAGAGTACAAAGTGGATAACTTGATGTTAATTCGTTTTCCTAATTTTATGGTTCTGTAGATGGTGCCAGTTGTTCTTAATCTCTTTATATGAAGCGTTAGAGTTATTGCATATGCACAATTTTTGGAGGATCGGCATGTTAAACGTCATGCCAAACCTCATAAATTTGCTGTTCAACTTGCTGTAACACCCAATACAATCCCTTCCATTGAGCAAAGAGCTTTTTAAACAAACTATATTCCATCGATGCTATGTCCTACTATTCCTCTAGATCTCAGCTTTTTCATGAGAGAACCCTAATTATCTTCTATTATTTAAAGAGGACAGGATGATGTGAGGTCCAAGTGTACGGTTACAATGCCATATACTAATATTAGTGTAATGAGACTTTGATAATTGTTGGATTGGTTTCAATCCGGACCTCCTGTATATAAGCTAGGGTTTTGGGTTAATTGATATGCACATTTCTGTATTCTCTTTCCATATTCTATGCATTCACAAAATTTAAATTAATAATTAAATTTAATTGAGTTAAAATTTAGTTTTACTCATCAAATTAGCAAATAAAGTAACAAAATTTTGTAGTAAAAAGTAAATACTGTATTGGGTTAGAAATTTCCCTCAATTATATTATTCTAACTGCATTTCTGTAAAAATTAGAAAAAAAATGGCTGTCAAGTTTCACAAGGCAAAATTTCATTTTTGATTATTAAAATTTCTTGCTTTGTTAAATATGACAAATTATATACAGATAACTCCATATACTAAATATATTAAATTTGAAATTAGACTATATTGTTCTATATACTATTAAACAAACTGTATTATGTTGCAAATTGTATTACAGTTTTTAATTGCACTTTAGATATTTCATTTGTTAATCATGTAGATTAATATTATAAATATAAATTTTTTCTTATAATATGTCTTGTGATAAATAATCTTACTTTATATGAATTTGCTGATATATTTGATCTGTTTTTATTTTTACTTTTTTTATTTTTCCTGGAAAGCTGTAATTAGTACAAAAGTGTTTAAAATAAAATTTTAACTTTTTTTTTCTAATTTTAGATTTCTGTTTTAAGTTAAAAATAAATATCTATTCCATACTTCATACCTTTCGATTTGATATATGACAGCTTGCAAAGTTTTACAAGCCCACCAACTGTGACGAGCCCACTATATACACAACACAACTGTAATAATACTGAAGAGAAATCTTTATGGAATGTTAGAACAGAACTATATACATAGTAATCTCATTGCTCCTTTGGTACTGTTTCAGTCTTCTCAACTTGGTCCCTTGAGCTTTCTTCTATGTTTCTCTCCCCTGTGCTCCCAATTCCACCGCCTACTGGACTGCCAGCTTCGTCCATTCCACCTATATTTTGTGGTGGAACAGCCTCCACGACGTCCAAGGATTCAGGTAAACAACCCCAGCTTCCTTATCCCCTCGGTCCTCCTTATGGTCACCTTGTTCTAGACTTTCGGCAAGCTTGCAGGCTGTGGGACTTGATCCTTCCAGTGAAGTTGTGTCCGTCCTAAGAGATCCCACTACTATTCCCCTCACCACTGTCCTCGGCATCAACACCTTGTTCCAGACTTTCCGTACGTTTGCAGGCTGTAGGACTTGATCCTTCCAGTGAAGCTGTGTCCGTCCTGGGAGATTTCACTTCCTGGAAAACAATCTCTGTGGCTTCACCATGGCCACCTTCCTTTCCCCCAACATCACTCTTTGAATCCCCACCCTTCGAACTATCCTCGGTATCGACACCTTGTTCCAGACTTTCGGTGCGTGTTGGAGACTCATGATGACTAGTTTCAAAGCACCTACATAAGATAGGAGGTGAGAAACAACAATCAATGAGAATAGTGAATGCAGTTACCCTGCATTGCTTTCAGCGATCTCATCCTGAGGACCAGCCTCCCTCTCCGAGGTTTCAGTGGGAGTGATATGGACAATTTTAGTATCTGATACTTCAGGGGGAGAAAGATACCTAACAGACACACAAATAAGTTCCATAAACAATGAGAAACTATACGATGCTACCTTTCAGAAGAACTAGAAGCCACTTCTGTTACGTGAGATGCTGTCACTACTTCCGTTTGATTGTTTTCAGCTTCTGAGGCTTCAGGTGAAACTTCTGTTTGAATATCAACGGTAGCATGCTCCATGGTTTCAGCTTCCTTTTCGACAGCAGTAACTTCTGTAGTCTGTTTTGTGCCTTCTGCATGTGGTGCTGGAGTATCTAATACTTCAGGAAGTGAAAGAAACCTAACAGACACACAAATAAGTCCCATAGAAAATGAGAAACTATATGACACTACCTTTCAGAAGAACCAGAAGCCACTTCTGTTATGTGAGGCGCTGTCACCACTTCACGAATGACCTCCGTTTGATTGTTTTCAGCTTCTGGTAAAACCTCTGTTGTTTGAATATCAACGGTAGCATGCTCCATGGTTTCAACTTCCATTTCGGAGACAGAAACTTCTGTAGTCTCTTCTGTACCTTCTGCATGTGGTGCTGGAGTATCTGATACTTCAGGAGGAGAAAGAAACCTAACAGACACACAAATAAGTTCCATAAAAAAGGAGAAACTATGTGACACTACCTTTCAGAAAAACCAGAAGCCACTTCTGTTATGTGAACCACTTCACGAATGACCTCCGTTTGATTGTGTTCAGCTTCTGGTAAAACCACTGTTGTTTGAATATCAACGGTAGCATGCTCCATGGTTTCAACTTCCATTTCGAAGGCAGTAACTTTTGTAGTCTCTTCTGTGCCTTCTGCATGTGGTGCTGGAGTATCTGATACTTCAGGATGAGAAAGAAACCTAACAGACACACAAATAAGCTCCATAGAAAATGAGAAACTATGTGACGCTACCTTTCAGAAAAACCAGAAGCCACTTCTGTTATGTGAACCACTTCACGAATGACCTCTATTTGATTGTTTTCAGGTTCTGGTAAAACCTCTGTTGTTTGAATATCAACGGTAGCATGCTCCATGGTTTCAACTTCCATTTCGGAGGCAGTAACTTCTGTAGTCTCTTCTGCGCCTTCTGCATGTGGTGCTGGAGTATCTGATACTTCAGGATGAGAAAGAAACCTAACAGACACACAAATAAGTTCCATAAAAAAGGAGAAACTATATGACGCTACCTTTCAGAACCAGAAGCCACTTCTATTACGTGAGACGCTGTCACCACTTCATGAATGACCTCCGTTTGATTGTTTTCAGCTTCCGAGGCTTCAGGTGAAACCTCTGTTGTTTGAATATCAACGGTAGTATGCTCCATGGTTTCAACTTCCTTTTTGACGGCAATGACTTCTGTAGTCTCTTCTGTGCCTTCTGCATGCGGTGCTGGAATATCTGATACTTCAGGAGGAGGAGAAAGAAACCTAACACACACAGATAAGTTCCATAGAAAATGAGAAACTATAAGACGCTACCTTTCAGAAGAACCAGAAGCCACTTCTGTTAAGCGAGGCGCTGTCACCACTTCAAGAATGACGTCCGTTTGATTGTTTTGAGCTTCTGAGGCTTCAGGTGAAACCTCTGTCGTTTGAATATCAACGGTTGCATGCTCCAAGGTTTGAACTTCCATTTCGACGGCAGTATCTTCTGCAGTCTTAACGACAGTGACAATTTCAGTCACTTGTTCACTTGTTCCTTCGACGGTGCTCGATTCCGTGGCTTGAATAGTTACTTCAGCAGTTCCGACGGTCAACATACCACTGTCAACCAAATCATCTGCACGTACCGTCATATCGAGTTTAGTAAACACAAAATCGTGTCAATCTTCTCTCATACCTTCGTCCATTTCGTTGGTTTTCTCGATGGCTTTACCAACTTCATTCTCAGGCTCCGTCAAACTAAGCCCCTCACATTCGGCGTCGCATGGAGGTGATTTCATGTGCTCACTAGCCGGGGTTTCATGAGGCGTCAGAGTAGTCGCATCCTCTAAGACCACATCCGGATTGTCTTCCAAACGATCTTTACTATCAACAGTCGTGTTTTCGTCAGGTTCGACGGGTACTTCTGGTGACTTGTCCTCCCGAGTGCCAATTTCACTATCACTAAAGTATATAAGGTGAATTTCTTAGACAGGAAAGAGTACTTACTTGATAGCGTACAAAAATGCTTCATCCTCGTGGCCAATGTGAGATTTACTGGCCGAAGAAGTATTATTTGGCTTTTCATTCGGTTCCGCAACTGCCTTAGCCGTAAGCGTCTCTTTGGGAGAACACTCTTCAGGACTATCTGGGCCAGCCTTGTCTACCGAAATCCTACAAGAAAAACTGTTAGCGTTGATCGCCAGCACAAAAAAAAAAGTATTTTACTCGTTCTCTGGAGCTTCGATAATCCCAAAGATCGTTTCCGCGTCCTCACCAGTGTCTGCAAAAATAATAAGTCTTTGAGAAAAAAGTTCAGAGAGAAAAAAAAAAAGAAAATCTCAGTCTAACGTTTGACACCAGTGCCGATGTCCCATTCCACGCCGTCAACTCTTTCCGTCTTCGAGCCTTCAACCTCATCTGAATCAGTTCTTGATTTCACTCCACCAGCTCTTTCCTGTTGTGAGCCTTCAGTTACTCCGTCAGCTCTTTCTGCCGTCAAGCCTTCGACGTCATCACTCGATTTTCCGTCATCTTGTCCTGCCTTTGGGCCTTCAACTTCGTCAAGATCAGCTCCAGCTGCAACTTCAGGTTTAAAGCTTGAGGGAGAATCGAGAAGATTGATTTCTGCGTCCTCCATAATGACACGTTCGGCATTTCCTTCCTCCACATTAGCATCTGCTACATCTTCACCACGAGCATCGGCCATTTCGACGTCCCCTGATCCATCAATCGCAAGAGGCGATGCATGTAAACTTTTGCCTGCCTGTTCATTCTCAGGAATCCTGTCGTCACCATTTTTGTCAGATCCTTCGGGTGTAGAAGTTTCCTCAGCCTTGACCTCACGCAGAAAAAGACAACTACATATGAAACAAAAGTCAGCCCCATCGATCACTAGAATAATGAAGATAGTTACCGTCTACTGCCATCATCCAGCCTAGAGCCAATTTCATAACTTGCCGGTTCAGGGACATTCTCATTTTCCATGTCTTTGTCAGCTTGAAGTACATCAGTAGCCCTTTCATTCCCATGGTTCTCGGATCTGCAAAATAGTGTTTCATTACCAGTCGATCAATAAGCGTTGCTTACATTTCAGTGTCCGTAAAACGTGTTGGGGATTGAATTTCAATTGGTAAAGAGTTATCGGGTAGCATCTTGATAATACCTTCCCTTGATAAGGCGACCTTTCCAACCTCTGTCGATTCTGCCGTAATAAATGTCGAAGTCGAATGCAAAGTCTGAAGTTTAGCGCTGCCCGTATCATTACGTTCGAGACATCTATAGAAGAAATAGGTGCAAGGTGATAACGAGTTTTTGAAGTTCGTTCTTACATTTCAGGAGTATCAAGCCGCGGGAAATAATTCCCTTCATTTTCCTTTTGGGGATCAATTTCCTTCTCGTGTGCAGGAAAACTGTATGTGAAGGTTAACTAAGACATGTCAGCATGGACAGAAAACTCACGTCTCAGAGCTATCGTCTTGGGTAGCTGGAGTTTCCATTTTTACGCTTAAAACACCGACATCATCACTCGCTTCAATAGCCAATCCATTATCGACATCTAAAGAAAATAAAATAAAATAAGGACAGAATTGACGTGATCCTTCTCACCTGCATGCGTTTGCAGCTGGTCCTCATAGTTCTCTGCTTCACGCTCGTCTGAATCAGTTTTCTTGCTGTCAAGTTTATCGCTGGGGAAAGCTGGTTCAGTAACAACACCCGGAGGTTCACCACCCTCTTCAAGAGTCAATCCCCTATCCAACTCTGCAGATAACTGAAATAAGTACAGAACATACGTGATTCTTCTCACCTTCATGCATTTGGAGATTGTGCTCTGGTTCAAGCTCGTCCGATTCGGGTTCCTTGCATTCTGCGGCAGCAGGAAATAGTGCGCTCTCAAGTTTATCGCTGGGTGAAGGTGGTTCATTGATTGAGCTTAAAATGCCCACAGGTTCATCACTCCCTTCAAGAGTTAATCCAGTAGCCAGATCTGCAGAAAAAAAAAAATGAGAACAAAGATACCTGATCTTTCTTACCTCCATGCATGTGCTCAGCTTCACGGTCTTCTGATTCGACGTTTTCGGACGGAAGTTTATCGCTAAGTGAAGGTGGTTCACCTTTCTTGTCAACGGCAACTCCTGGACTTCGAGACTTTTCTTGGGAAATGGTCCTGCCCATATCAATCCCATCCTGGATATTCCTATCCGTTTCACTATCGACCTGCCCAGCGTCCGCACTAGCAGCAAAATGCTTACTATCTGAAACACCCTCCGAGGCGTCAGGAAGTTTGTCGTCAGCATCAGGACCATGCCCAGACTCTCCGGAATGGCTTGCGACACTAGAAGATTTGTCTTCCATAGCCTTTGAAACGTCAAGAGCAGAATTATCCCTACGAAACCAGGAAATCATGTGAGGAATTTCAATCACAATCAATCACTAATGATATGTTACCCAGAATCGCTTCCAGCACTTCCATCACCGTTTCCAGGGTCTTCGTTTGCATGATCCGCAACGTCAGTCGCACATACTATTTCGTTTTCTTTGCCAGTGACGTTTTGGATTTCAGGGACAGAGTCTTTCGGTTGCTCATCCATAGATTCCGATGGTAAATTCTCTCTGAGAATCTCAGCACTGTCATTTCTAGCAGACGTCGAAAAAACAAGTTAAAGACCTGGAGAAGAAAAAGAGAACATCCTTACTTTGTGGCGCCTTGCTCGCAACCAGCAACTTCACCACCCTGAGGCTTCTGCGTTTCTGTGTCACATTCCAGAAACCTACTGAAGAAATGTCAGCGTTTTCAAACTAATGTAATTTACATGTTTTACCTGATCTCGCTATCGTTGTTCTGCAAAGTTGGCGCAGCATCAATACTTTCGACGATCTCACCAGCTGTAGTACGAATTTCATCGCGTGCGATGTTGTCCGTTTCTTTGTCAGACCTGCGAAGAAGAATGTGATACTCAAATAGTTCGAAAGCAACTCTTACTTTGAAGAATCTGGTTCTTCAGGTTCACTGTCGGGGCTTGATGTATTCGCAGACTTGTCATCAAGTTTACTTTTCTGCCTCTTGGTGAGATCTTCAGTTCCAGCAACCTTCACTGCCGGAGTGATAATTTCTATCCCAGTCCGCGCTACTTTGACATCATCAGCTGCTCGTAAAATGGCGAACGTTTTGCTACCAGTTTCAGACCGTGCTTTAGCATCTGTCGTAGTTTCTTCATCATCTTCTTTCTCTTCGACCACGGGTGAAACTTTCCTTTTCTTTAGTTCTGATTTGGTTTCTGTTTCAGTTTTCTTGGCTTCTCCTTGTACAGCTTTCTTTAAACGCTTAAAGGTTGTCTCTGGTGCTTGTGAAGTGTCCGTTCTCAACTTAAGAGTGTCCAGGTTTATAGGCTCTTCTTTCTCAGCTGCTGCATGCGCCTTGCCTCGTGGTGGCTGAACTGCTTCCGGATTTTTTCTTGGTCTACCACGACCTCTTTTAACTGGTGGTTCCTCTACTACCTCTACTTCTTCAACGTATGTCACATCTTTCTCATCATCTGCGCTGACACTGGCTTTGCCTTTTCTGCGAGGCCTGGTGCCTACAACAACTTCTGGTTTTTTCTCGTGTTCTGGCGACTCCGCTCTGCACAACTGTTCGAACTCCTGCTCACTTAATTGATCTCCATACGAACGTATCTGTACGAAGAAAATGAATACAGTGCCAAAAAAAAAATATAAAAAAAATCAAATATTTACCTCGCGAGTCCGCTTTCCTCTGCCATAGTGCTGAGTATCCAACGAGCTAGCTGTTTTTTTTCTTTTTGCATCAGCCTTGTGAATAATCGACATAACAGGCTTCAACTCTGATTCTCCGAGCAAACGTGGAGGCATTTCTGGATGCTCATCGCCATCTTCGCAATTGTTCATTGTTCGCCATATGATCTGAAAAAGAAAAAGCTTGCTATGGAAAACGGTACCAGAAGGAAAACTAGACTTACTTCTTCTTCGGCACGTCTTTCTCGATCGACAGATTCAAAAACGTCGATTTCATCGTCGCTGTCAGGGTGAAATTAAGCTTAGAAAAATATAGAAAGCTTCTCCTTTCCGTTCACCTGCGTGCCAAAAGATAATTCAGAGCATCGTCGTCCGGAACCGCAGCGACTTCTTCCTTTTTGGACTCCCTTAGAAGAGATTCCAGGTATTCTCTCCTGTCTTCAGCACTGGAGAGTAAAAGTTCAAAAAACAAGCATGTAGTGTATTCTTCATTTGGGCTATGCGCAAAAATGTACCTGGTATTGTTATCAAAGAATCCTGCAGTAATGCTTTGATTGGCGACACCAAGCTTGTGTTCTGCAGACGCCCTTACTTGCTCTTCAATTGTGTTCACCTGTTCCAAAACGAGTTCAAATAGCAGGTACAAATTTATAAAGGCTACCGTTTCAAGGCGCAGAACTAGAACATCACGCTTTTGGCCGATTCGGTGAGCCCTTGCTTGAGCTTGAAGGTCCACCTGAAATAGTTGTTAATATTACAGGATAAAAGTAGGCGAAAACTAGTACTTGTGGATTCCAGTCAGTATCAAAAATAATAACAGTGTCAGCAGCCTGCAAGTTCACACCTATGCCGCCTGCTCGGATACTGTTCATCAACGTCCGTTAGAAACCGTACAACTTTGAGAATGTGCAAACCTCAAAAGGAACAAGAACGCATCAGAGTCAGGTGCATTAAATCTGTCGATAAGTGATCCACGTTCACTTCCCATAGTATGACCATCAAGCCGTAAGTACTTATAACCCTTCCATGTAAGGTAATCTTCGAGAACGTTAAGCAGTCTCGTCATGGTAGAAAAAAGAAGCACCTGAGTTATTATGCAAGTCAGATCAAGCAGAGGAAAAAATAGGATAGTGATACCCTGTGGTTCGATTTTTTTAGTTTCGGAAGAATTCTGTCAAGCATCTCCAGCTTCCCGCAAAGACGAATAACAGTAGGAAGATAATGAGAAGGTAACAAGCTTTCGGCCTGTGAAGAGAGCGATCAAGTCAAGATGTTAAGGGAAATTGTAAAACAATACCTCTTCCGTATGGACATGGCTAAGGTAAGGATGATTACATATGTTTCGAAGTTCCATTACCGTGTTTTGCACTGATCGAACCTGTACAAGGCGAGTCATCTTAATTGCAAATTCAAGAATGAAAAAATATTACCTTTGCATGACCAATTCCTCCCATTTTTTCTTTTACACGTTTCATCAGGAGCCTCTGATAAGCAGAAGCCTCGCAGCGAACCAAGCGTTCAATCTTTTCGGGAAGTTCATACTCAACCTGCAAGAGCATGAAAAATCACAACTCATCTTCACCATGGTTTTCCTACTCACCTTATGTTTCAATCTTCGCAATACAAATGGACGCAGCACTTGATGTAAGCGGTTGATAATAAGCAGGTTTTCTTCCTCCGTCAGCAGCGCCTACCAGAGAAATACATAAGAAATAGCCATAGTACACGGGTTTACCTCAGTGTCTCCGTTGTCTGCAACACTTTCAAATGGCTTATTGAACCACTGCGCGAAGTCTTCCGAAGAGTTAAAGATGCTGGGAAGTAGAAAATTAAGCAGCGCCCATAACTCGTCGAGATTGTTCTTCACGTTCAAATGAAACCATTAGATATATGCAGCAGGAAACTAGTGAAGTACCTGAATAGGTGTGCCAGTCAGCAAAAGCCTATTGTTGCTCTGATAATGCTTCAGTTCAGCATTCAGTTTGCAAGATGCATTTTTTATCCGATGACCTTCGTCAATTATAATGTAATGCCAACGTATCTTACTCAATTTTGGTCTATCGTTCTTATTCATCAAATACTCATATGTTGTCACAAGAATATTGAATTGTTGCTGGACAATATGTTCCCTAGAAATTAGCAAACAACAGTTAGTCATGAACAAAATTTCGTGAGCTTACTTGAACAGCCGACGTCGCTCATCAGGAGTACCAGTATATGCAAGTTTTATAACATTGGGAGCCCATCGGGTAATTTCTGACATCCAATTTGGTAACACCGATGAAGGTACAACGACTAGGAAAGGACCTCGATCGTGTTTGGCCTCGATCAAATAGCATATCAAAGCAATCACCTGCAAACCACATTATACATTAGCTTGAACAAAATAATAAAGAAACGTACCTGAACTGTTTTTCCTAAACCCATCTCGTCCGCAAGCATACCGTTCAAATGATTGTTATACAGTGATACCAGCCATCGCAACCCATTCATTTGATATCTGCAATCAGCACGTAATTTGAGACGAGGACATTCATGTTAAAAGCTACTAACTCTCGAAGTGTGCCACCATGGAGGCTCGCAGGCTGGGACGGAATGCTTTCTTTCACGCTGGACACAGGAAAACAAATCAAACAATGATTTCGTCAGAATAAAGAGAAGCTTCTTACCTATGAGCGAGTAAGTAATACTTTTCGTTGCTTTCCAGATAGTGCTACAAAACAGAATGTTCGAGTAAACGTCCATGGAGCCTACAAGATCTTACCTCAGCTTGGTCGTACGACTGTTCTTTCTTAGTCATGACAGAGAACTGATTGAAAAGGTCGCTGTCCGATCTGCCGATCTCTTTCTTTTGCTCCTGGAGTTTTGTTCCAAGCTTTTCTAGATAAGACTCGGTTTCTCGTAACAGTTGTTCAACTCGATCAGATTTTGCATCCTGGGGTTCATGAATAGTTATCAGCAAATAGTCATCAAAGAAAACAAAAAGAACCTTTATCATTCGAAGATAGCCTTCCACGTCATTGTTCTTCAAAAGGTTAATCTTCTCACGCTGTATTTTATCAAGCTTCTCCCGATGGACTTTATCCTTCCTCTTATGAGTATCCCGCACATAGCGGTTAAAGCTTTTCCAGCGCTCTCTCTTTGCCTTGTTCCAGTCCTCCAGCTTGTCTCTGAGATAAAAGAAAAACTATTATGCAATTTTCATAGATCAACATACCGTTGAAGTTCAATGTCCTTGAAAAACTCTCTTTGCCTATCTTTAATTCGTCGAGATCTCTCCTCTCTTTGCTTTTGCTCCAAGCGTTCCAACTGTTTGAGACGCCTCAAGGGACGATTCTTCTTCATACCTCGCAATTGAGCCATTTCTGGGGCAATAGCTTTGAAAAAATCGTGTAAAACTTCCCTGCATAAGAGAAACGAAACGATTAAAGATTCGGATACTTGCTAACTTACCTTCGCAATTTCCGCTGAAGTTGAAGAAGTTGAAGCTTCTTGAGCTCAATAACACTTTTTGTTTTGGATGACGAGTCATCAGACGAGCTTACAATTGCCTGAAAGAAAACACCGTAAAATAAGACACAGAAAAGAAATCCATCTTACCTTAAGCTCATTAAAACGTGTTCCGATGTTCTCTTCAGTCTTCCTCTGCTTCTGTACCCACACTTGATCCGCCATAAACTTCTTTCTCCGTTCGTCTATTGACCACTTATCGATGGTGCTGTACTGTGGCTTGCTAGAATAAACAGGAGTCTCTCCCGGTAACAAGTCTTCAGCCTGCTCAGCCGTTGCTGGTCGGGAAGTTGTAACTTCTGTCACGCCATTGTTTAAGAGCTGCATCTGTCCTTGCCCCGGTGCTTGCATCTGTGCCTGAATCGGCGCTTGCGCCTGTGGTTGAATCTGAGGTTGGACTTGCGTTTGAACAGGCCCTGAGAACGGTGCTTGAGTCGGAGCTTGCACCTGCGTTTGAATTGGAACTTGCAACTGCGGTTGAACCGGAGGTTGCAACTGCGCTTGGACCTGTGCTTGCACTTGCGTCTGCATGTGTCCTTGCGCTTGCGCTACTATATGTCCTTGCGCTTGCGCTACTATATGTCCTTGCGCTTGCGCTACTATATGTCCTTGCAACTGTGACGAGGTGTGTCCTTGCAACTGTGATGATATGTGTCCTTGCAATTGAGCTGATATATGTCTCTGCAACTGTCCTTGACTTGCCTGCTGCAGTCCCGGGTCCTGAAGCTTGAAAGCTGGAGAAGATGTTCCACCATCAAAAGCTGGATCTTGCGCTTTCTCTCTGGTGAGCGAACTTAAAACTGCGGCTTGGCCCGAGTTTGTTTGGGACGTCTGAAAGGATTTCGCCGACTCCAATAGCCTTTGAAGTTCCACGCGCTCGCCGTTTGGCAAAGTTATCAGGTAGTTCTTGGGAATGAGATCTCCATTCGGTAAAGTAACGTAGTTTGACGTCTCTTTGGCGATTGTTGAAGGTTGGATAGACGAGGCTGCCATCCTCGTTTCTTCATGCTCCATGACAGTTGCAGCTGCAGTAGTATTTTCAGGAGTACTGGTCACAGCTTTTAGCCGACTTGGACTTGGACTCTGAAACTGCCTTGGTATGTCTTTTTTGAGACTCTCGTAGACAACCGGTTCTTTCTCCCGAGGCACCTGATCCACCTGCGTGTCAACCTTTGATCGCTTAGCTTCAGGAGTGTCCACTTCCTGAGCGGACGTATCGGGACTCTCCTCCGCTACTGCCGCCTGAGCGCTAGCCGCGGCTCTTGACGCCTTTCGGGCGGCCATGGCCTCCGCCCTGGCTTCTTTCCTCCGCGTGTTGATTAGCACCTTCCTCTCCTCCGGTGTCAAATTAGGATCTATAGGTGGATATTTCTTTTTCACCTTGGGCTTCTTCACGGACTCGGCTTCCTTGTTTGCATTTTGAGGAGGGACGGCAACAGCCGGAGTTTTGGCGCTTGGAAGGCTTCCGGATTCCGAGTCTCTTTCTGCTTCAGCACTAGAGTCCTGCTCAGCAGCCTCAGAGGACTCAACAGGAGGATCTGCAGGCTTTTGCGGTTGGATTGTTGATGGCCCTGCATTAGCTGCTTCTGGAAAAAACGACACACACGTTACACTGAATGGACAAGGCAGATCATTAAGCATTTACCAGCATTCAGCATTTCCTGTTGAGATTGCAGTGCTAGCACAAGCTGCGACTTCTTTGGTACGGTTTTGTTCCTGCAAAATTCAGAAGTCAATAAAAAAGCGTTCCAACAGAATCCCCCTACCTGAATGACAGAAACACGAGGCACTGAGCCTTGAGTTGTTTCAGCTGAAAGTCACTGAAAGGCGAAGGCCCAACAGCCAATGGACCTCCATTTGGCCCAGAGACGTAAGCCTTTCCAGGACTTACAAACGATTTCGGAGGCAGCTGCGTTTCCAGACTTTGCAAGGTTCCGGTATTCTGCATGTGTACTTGCTCCGGTGGTGGTGTCAAGCTTCCAGCTTTACCCAGTCGAAAGGTCTCACCGGGCCTAGGCAGGCCAAAAGCTTCGTGAATATGTTGCTGAGGATCGAGAGGCCCGAAAGATCCTTGCGAAGGACGTATGGGCGAATACGAGTTGAATGCTCCTGCTCGATTTCCCTGTGGACTTGACATGCCATCGCCACCTTCTGTAGGAACGCCTCCCGAAAAGCCTGTAGACTGCAAGTCGGCCTTTCCAGACTCCGGCGAAGCACCAGAGTTTGCTCTTCGCACTGCGGACATTGCCTTTGACATGTCCAAGCTTCCCAAGCCTTGCTGCTGTTGCTGCTGTTGCTGCTGCTGCTGTGCTTGCAACTGTTTCAATCGTAAGAGGTGGTGCTCTGGGCTGACGACGTTCGCGTCATCCAGCCGTGGTGTTTTGAAAGCGTGCCCTTTGGCCGCGAAAGAAATTCCCGCTGCTTCATCAGCGGGCAGCTTTCGCTTTTGCTGCGAGTTTGGTGTCCCAGCATCTGGAAACGCTCCTGCTCCGACAGTTTGATCCGAAGAGAAGCGTCGCCCAGCGTCATGTCCGAGAAATGGATGAGACATCTCTTCCAGCTGCCGCGGCTGATCATCCTTCAACCCAGCTTCATGAGACCCGCTGGAACCTGCGATCAAAGTCGCCTGTTTAGTTTCGGGAATCCCAAACACGGCAACGTCTCTACCAGGTGCTGATGGACCTCGAGAAGATGATCCCAAAACGCTGTGGTCCAGATTATACGTTGTCAAAACCTTCTCGAGAGCTCTAAAAGAGAAAGGACGTCATTCGCCCCAAAACGAAGAGGAGGAGCACTAACCTCGATATCACTTGGAATGGAAGAGTTTGCTCCCTCCCAGTCATTTTCATATGCTGGCAGATCTACAGAGAGATCAAAACTCAGCCATAATCCAGTCACAGATCATCGGCTAACTCACCGCGAAGAGTTTAGATGCCAGCCGCGGTGGCTCATCCTTGAGATCCTGCCCAACCTTCTGCAAAAACTTGGTAGCCTCCGATTCTACATGAGCTTGAGAGGCCGCAGCCATCCCAGCGGCGGGAGCGGCGAGAATCGCAGCAGCACCCGCTAGTCCATCGCTGGAGCTGAAGAACCCTAATGCAGGGGAGAGGAGGAAAAAGTGTTCTCAGCATATTCCGTTACCGCGAGCACATTCCGCTTACAAACATATTCCGGATAATGCCGCCTTTTCCATATTTCCTTTTCGTGACGTCAGCAAAGCCCTTTCCAGGTTTGCCCCAAGAGAACGCTTGAGATCATGGGCACGAGGGAGTGGCGATCGCGCGCCATCGCCATCGTGCTTGGGAGGTAGCTCGCATCGCGCAGGAATTCGGTAGCGATGAGTTCCAGGGCGCTGGCCAGGGACAGCCGCTTCAAGCAGTACATGAAGAAGACGGCCTATGTGCAGTGGGAGGAGGAGCAAGAGATGAATCGCCACAAGCAGCGCCTGCGACACATGACCGCCGCCATCGACAATAGCTCGCCCTTCTACTTCTCGGCAGCTCAGAATCGGTGCCGGCAACTCCAGGAAGAAGGTACGAATCGATCGACCGATGCTCTCTCACTGAAGCGATGGCATTTTCCACCCAGAAAGGCTTCACGTGATCGAGGACGAGAACCTGGCGCTCTTGGGGAGATTGCACGCCATCTCCAATCGCGAGACGAGGAACTGGCATTGCAGGAAGCCCAAGGCGCTCATCCGGGGCGATGCCTACAGGTACTACTTCAATCCTCCGAGAACTCCTCTTCCCTCTGGCCAATGCATCGGCTGGATCGATCCACAGCTGATCGATTTGAATCTACCCAGGCTGCGCAAGCCCAGCGGCAAGCGCGTGTGGCTCTACGACTGGCAAGCGCTCAAGGGGTCGACGATGCGCAAGAGCCTGCGCGTCCAGGAGGAGGTGTTGCGCAAGCTGGTGTCGATGAAGATGGTGGATCCTAAGGAGGAGAAGTGGCTGCGAAAGTGGCTGCCACGACCCAAGGAAGGCCCACTCGATGTCTTGCGTTACAACAAGGCCACGGAGCACAAGGACGGCGAGGCCCCCTCGCCCGTGGACGCCGACCCAGAGGATCTCGCGAAAAAGACCGCCAGTCTCAAAATCAAATAGCAAACACCTGGTATTGTTTGCCAAGCCGATAACCCTCACACAAGTTGGAGGTATAGCTCAGTGGTAGAGCAATCGGCTGCAGTCCGATAGGTCACCGGTTCGACCCCGGTTGCCTCCTTTCTTTATCTCTTGCAGTGTTTCACGTTTTCTACCTTTTGTCACCTGGTCTAAGAAAGAATGAGCTCCTTTAAAAAAGCTCGGTGTAAATGGGTCAACTATACATGTTGCGCGCCGGATTTTAGAAACTTTTTTTTGCTTGATATGGATCACGCACTTGTCGTGTGAACGCTGCCGCCTCACTCTGTGCAGGCGCGGGGCTCGCCTAGGTATTTAATCGTTGACGCGACTTTGCATTACAAAGGATAAAGATAACATCGCGTAGCCCACAATCTTTGCGAGTCGCTGGATCACTCTAGGCTGGCCGGGAGAGAAAAAAAACAAGTACTTATCACACGGTGAGAAAGAGGGCTTGAAATATAGGCGGTGTACTTCGCTCGTTTTCCTTCCGTGCGAGAGAACTTAGGAGAGTAATCGAGGGAGAGAGAGATTCCCGGATTTCTTTGGGAAATCCCAGCACAATCATTTGCTAGAGAGATCCTCGCGCTGCTTTTCTTTTCTAGCTTTGTTTCCGGACATCATGGGCGCTTACGACGGTGCTGAAGCTCCTCGAGCAGCTCCTGCGAGCACTGCTGCCAATTCCAGGCCCTCGCGATTGCTGCTGCTCCACAGCCTGCTTCTACGCCTCGTGGCGGTGGTCCTCTCGATTTTGGTGATTGCCGTCATGGTTCACGCTAAGCAGCGCGTCATGATCTTCAAGGCCGAGTGGGATAACTCTAAAGCCTTCGTGTAAGTCCTTCCATATACACTCCCCTCGCCAAATGTTATATGTTTGATCCTCTCGCAGAGCTCTGGTCACCATCAGTGCTATTTGCCTCGGCTACTCGTTTCTCCAATTCATTCTCTCCGCCTTCCATCTCTGTTCCAAGTCGTGGAAGTCACCCACGAAGTGCTGGGCTTGGATGAACTTCATCGCTGACCAGGTATGCCAAACTGTGGATCCAAATTTCTCAGGCTCGATCTATGCTCTTTGGTTTCGCGATAGATCTTGACGTACGCTATGCTGGGAGCGGCAGCGGCGGCGGCGGAGCTGGCTTACATCGCCAAGAACGGATCCTCTCGAGCGCAATGGCAGCCCATCTGTTCGACTTTCAACACCTTCTGTACGCGTGCCGGTGCCTCCATTATTCTTTCCTTCATTGCTGTTCTGGCGCTGGCCAACAGTTCTGCGATCTCTGCCTATCACTTGTTTCGCAGGCCAAGCTCATCTGTGTAGGTAAGAGAATTCGTGTGCTTAAACCAGAAGAGATTTACAATGTAACATGCTCTCTCTCTCTCTCTCTCTCTCTCTCTCTCTCTCTGTGATGAAGAAGTATTTTTAATTCCGGATAGAGGTGGTAGAAAGTACGAATAAGTGAAACTTCGGAGAACTCTAGATCTGCTTGCAAATTCAAGCGTTGGACTTGTTCAAATCGTAAATATATATATATTATATATGGCCGGGACCACCGTGGTTCCAACCATTTCTACGTTGTGTTAAAGCTTAGAGAAGAGGCATAAAAAATCTCACCAATCGTATGTAAACACGCATGCTTTAAAAAACCCTGTCCGGGATTCGAACTCCAGACCTAATGAAGCGAGCAGATTAAACTTAACGAATGGGGCATTGCGAGAATCGAACTCACGGCCTCTCGCACCCAAAGCGAGAATCATACCACTAGACCAAATGCCCATTTACATTTGGTTTACAGAATGTTTTAAATGACAATAAAATAAAAGCCTGTGCGACCTAAGAATATCCAATCTTTTAAAAATATATCTTGTACAAAGGAACTTAGAAATATCAAAACTGGCCACACTCGGCTGAAATGGTGGGAAACCTCTTGCTATCGTTGCAGTAGTCGTAGATCATGTAGTTGTCCTTGACCCACTGGAGCTGGCCCTTGGCTTCCTGGTCGATGCTCTGGAAAGCCTCTTGCTCCCACCACTTGCCCATGGGAGCGCTGCACGATTCCACGCCCCCTGCGCAAGCATCCACGCTGAATCCCTTGTACGCCGCCACGAATGGAGCGTGATCCCAGTTGATCTTCTCCAGGCCACCGCGAGTAGCCCAGTCGTCTCCGTTCCACAGGCTCGAGTAGATCCCCATGGGCTGGCTCTTTGGGAATGGGATCCCGATGGCTTCGTTGTTCTTGTGGACACGCAGAGGGACATCGTCGACGTAAAATCTGAGGGTCCAAAACCACGATTCAAGAGTGATGATCGGTAGATAACGAAAGGGGGTTCTTACACGATCTGCTGCTTGTTCCAGAGGATGGAGTAGCTGTGGAAGTCCTGAGTCGGGTCGAACCAGAGGTAGTGTCGCTGCTCCCGGTTTCCAACGCCATTGGCGAAAGCATTGGTCTGGACGATGTAAGGCTGCCCGGAGACATTCCCCAAGAACTCAAAGTCGATCTCATCGTGCTTGTCAGTCTCGGATGACATGTAGAATGCCGTCACAGTTCCAGCGGAATCATTCGGAACCAGCTTGATTTTCATGCTGACATGACCGAATAAGTATTTGCTCCGGGATCCAAATCCAGCACCTTTTATATGCAATCAGCAAAAGACAAGCTTGCGAGAGGGATTCCTACCTGACGCCTTGTCCAGAACAAGCTGCATTTCGGTGCCACCGTTGAGCATTCGCGTGTGATCGTTGGCCCATCGGACATAGTAGTTCTCAGAGAAAGAAACATCGGACTTTAGTGGGAGACGAGCAGAGAGCACAATCTCGACCACCAACAGCAATGCAATGACTTCGGGAACACCCATTACTTGATCGAACCTCTTGTCAGGAACGAAAGACTTGGGATGAAACTGGCAGCCGAATAGATGGAGTTTGGAATGTTTGACACTGGGGCTGGGCTGGTGATTAAGATTTATAGATGTTGCCACTGCCGCGGACTTAACGCGTGATGGGAAAGGATGAGTCGGATCCAGCTCAAGGTGGCAAACTTCTGCGCCAGAGAGCAAGAGAGTATTTGCTGTGTGGCAAGAAATTTCTCGTGAGAACAACTGCTGGCAATTTGGCTCCTTGTCCATCTGTAATCCAACATAGCAAGATGAAAAAAATGTTCGTCTCTACCTAGTAAGTAACTCACTTTGAAGCAGTTTTGTTTTCCCATGGCTGGCATTAACAAGTATGGTGTTTTGTCTGTTGCCACTGCACAAGCTTAAAAGCACACAATGAGATATTGCAGAATTAAAACTTCTATCACATACAAACCATGAAAACGTTGCTGTAACAAGGACAACCAAGCAAAAGGATACTTGCAGCCAATGAATCGCTCCGAGTGAGCTCTTTCACGTGCTTTCAAGAGCAAGAATGGTGTCACAGAATGAAATAAGAGAAATAAGAGGGAGTTCACTAACACAAGACCCTTTTCAGGATGCAGTCACTAGACTGGTTGGGCTTTTATTCAAAAACCTTGCAGCAGAAGAAGTAATTGACCCCTAGATGGCATGGGAAGTTGCTTTGAATATGTATAGTTTGTGGTGTTGGATTATATTAAGTCTTTAATGTGGTAATTCACTCTTGCTTTTGCTGAAGAAACTTAAGTCTGTTAATATGGTTGTTTTAGATTAGTTAGTGTGATAGTTGGCATGAACATGTATTTATTGATCTTGTAGCATTCATTATGTTCTATTAGTTATTATTATAGTTGGTTATGATAGATTGGATGTTATTTCTTTTAGGTAATACATTTACAAGTACTTTGCTTACTAATCAATAATACTTTATGTTCTTGAAGTTGTTTAGCATGCTATCTATGACCTTTGAAATTAAGTTTTATCATTGACTTTTCTTAATGATACACTAGCTATTAAATTTTGTTGGATGGTGAATCTTATGACTTTCATCTATAATGATCTTGGTAATTCCTATATTATAATTTTGATTTTTTGGATAATAACTTATTTAGAATACTTTTATGTTTTAATATAAGATTTCTTTATTGATAATTACATCTCTAAAATATCATTATCTCTGACTTTGGTATTGTCCATTTCTTGATCTTTTTGTTTGGGCTAGTATAAGTAAATTGGCATTGGCACTTTATGTGCATAGTGAAATCTTTAATCATGAAGTAACTATTGTCAACTAATCATATCACTTACCTCTTTTTTAATATTTTTTATTTCATTAAAAGGGTATGACCATGTAAACAACTCTAACTACTTATTTACAATAGTCCATTTAGTTTCTTTGCTCATGAGGGTTGTGACTTTTGGCTTTTCTCTCTATATCACTTATGGGTAGGGACATATCATCTTTTGTAAATTATGCACCCAGAACAGAACATGACCATTTCCTATAGAAAGTGGAGTTGAAAGACGTGCAACGAGAAGTGAAAGAGGCAATATTTTATAATGTTGTGCCAAGCAAAGAGCATTATTAAGGGTGGTTGAAGCAAGAGTATGCACAAGTCCTACAAAAGCTTTGACATATTTGGCTCCACATGCAACAATAAGTTTTGGAAACAAATGCTAAATTGTATCATTTATTCAAATAGACTTTGATGAAAATGATGTAATTGTTGGAAGGTATCATCACAATTGTTGGCATGTCTAAATGTGCATTTGAAAACATTTAAGAAAATGCTTTAATCTTCATGAATGTTTACACTTAAACCATTGTTCCCCTAGAAACATGTGAAAAACTCACGCAAACACCAAATATCTTCCTAAGAATAATATATGGCAATCACCGTAAAGTGATCAAATCAATAATACACATCATCCCCATAATTCCCATTGGATTCTCACTTCATTTTGCAAGTGTGTATTGATCTGGGATTTATGCAACACTATGGTATCTCTTGCATCTAGTGGTACTCAACAATCTAGGGAAGTCACCCAATCATGGTCTAGCTGCAACCAAGCTTGTTCTTGACTCCATTGTCAAGAGGGTGCACATGGCCACAGATTTGCATGAGGTGGACATTCTCCAGTACTATCAGGTCTATGATCTCAAGAGCATCGAGTTCCACTCCGTTTTGGATGGTCGAGCGTGTACAGGGCGAGAATGGACGAGGAGGCTGTTGTTGTCAAGGTCTTGGACGTGACACAGAGGCCAGACCTGATGCTGGATTTCATGAGAGAGATTGATGCGTATGACACAGTTGAAGGAGTGTGCGTTCCAAAGCTCCTTGAGTATGGTTTCTTGTCAGGGGCGCTCTTCTTTCTGGCCTTCTCAGATGTGGGGGATAACCTGGAGGTGCTTGCGAACCAGAATGGAGGAGGCTAGGCCCTGCGATCAAGCAGAGCGCCATACAATCTCTCAAATCCATTCACTCCCTGAGCCACGGCGATATCTGGCTTGCAAACATGTGTTACCAGTTGCAAACATGGTAAAGCCCAAGTTCTTTGGATTGATCTACAACAGTCTTTCCGCTCGTGGACAGAGGAACATGAAAGAGAGCTCAATACGCTTGTCACTTTTAGATCAATATTAGATCTTAGCATATTTGCAAAACTTTATGAAGTGAGATTCTTGAAATCCCGAGAGCAAGGGAAGATTGTCCACATGCATGCATTCTTCCAAGTAATGCACTCCCACGAGGTGGTCGTCGTTAACAAGGCTGCAGGTATCAAGCGCTTAATCTCTTGCAGCCGCTACAATTCTATTTGGCCTTGTTTGAGAGCATGACTTATGGGGGGACCAAATTTAAGAAATTCACAATATTTGCAAATATGTGAAATTCCTGCTTTCTCTAGATATTGAGATCTTCACAAACCACATTCAAAGAAAAACGCTGCTTCAGGCAATCTAGTAGGAATCTTTCAGAATCTGAAAAGCTTTTCCATGTGCCTTTGATCCCTCTTTGCAAACTGTAAGAACTCATCAGCGTCTTCATCCTTGTCAAACAAGCATGCTGCTCCAAGGTCTATCCACATGACTTTGCCACCTTCCCTGGAAACAATAATGTTAGACTCCACCACTCGACCATGACTCACATTTGCCCTGTGCATCACAGTCAAGGCAGACTTTGCTGCCGAGAGGTAAGGCCTTAAGTTTTCACAGTCTTTGTCGATGCTCATGCCTCCAATATCTTGCATTATAGTAACCCAGCCTAGTCCTCCATCCATGAAACCGGCAGCATAAAGGCGCGGAATCACGTCACCTTGAAGGTCCTTGAGTTTTACCATCATCCACACTTCACGCACAGCCTCCTCCAGCTGGTCGGAAGAGTTGCAAACTTTGACAATAGCCTTCCTCCCTGATTTCAGATCCCCCCGAAACACTGAGACCTTTCCTCCGCTATGGATAAGGTGCCTTACATCACGCAAGAAGTCCAGCTCTGGAAGTTGGGGCATGACAAAGGCCTCGATGTCTTTGGGCTTGAAATTCAACAACCTGCAGAGTTTTATCGTTTGTATGCGCATATCTACAACATATCTTTTGTTTCTTGTATTTGTCTCGACAATAAAATCTGATGGATCCGCTGCTTCTTCTCCTAAAACTATGGGAGGACGCTCGAACAAGAGGTGCATAAAGTAGAACAGAGCTTCCATGAATGTTGGAGAAAAGAAAGCATCAGAAACCAGGAGAACATCGTCATGGGTCAGCTTGCAAAAGAACGATCGCTCTAGGCTGGTTACACATGCGTATCCAGATCGAGTTCTTCCACATGCACCATGATAGATATAACCAGCTGCCCGATCAAACACTTTGCGCATAACATTGCTGCCACCATCTATCCCCACCTGAAGAACCTCGTCGGACTCTACCAAAAGATACCCTTTGCCGGTATTTGCCAAAGAGGGAGTGCTATCCAGAGTTCCATACATAACGACTGCGCCTTGACAATGGCTAAGATGAATTCTAGAACCAGCTTGGAATCTCTTTTGGTACTCATAGGAGAGCTGTTGTACTGGAACCACAAGGGATGCATACAGTCTTGCAAATGCCTCATCGCGGCTTGTGGCTCCAGCAGCCACATGCAGCGGGCAAGGATCCGTGGACATAGGGGTGTTATCCGGCTGCGAGTAGAAGTCTTGGAGCTCTGACGCAAATGAATCCCATACCTTGTAGCCACCTCTTGGAGTGTGCTGACACATCTCTCTAAAACGCTATAGGAACCCTAGAGCGGCTATAGTTAGGTTAACGAATCGCGAGAGCAGCGAAAGCGAATTGTTTGATGGATTTGGTTCGTTCTGCGGTACACTTAAATGCGGATTTGTACGAGACAGACCCGGATTCGAGACGAGCGAGGCTACGATTACTATGTATGCACCGAGAACCTTGTTTAAATCGTGCAGGATATCATCGCAATCGCGCCTGGTAAGCTTCCCAACTACGAGGAGCGGATCCTAAGTTTCTATGAGGAACAGACGACGAGATTAGGTACTGTCTCGAAGGAAGTGTTTTCGAGACAAAAAGCTAGCTTTTGTTAACCATTCTTTCAGGCTACTTTGACGTTAGAGATGGCAGTGATCGGTGGATTCGTGTGTGGACTAGGAAGGCATGATCAATCTCCCAGCTGGGATGCATCATTGATTCACACCAGATTCAAACAATCTCATCACGGTTTGCATCGGATTCTCTTTAATCAAACAAGAAGCTAGGAAATCTATCCAGTGGACATCCAATCTGGACGGCGTTTAATTGGCCCCAAGAAGACAATCCTGCGATGTTTGTAGATACATGCTCTCATGAATCTCCAATCTTTTCCCAGATTGGAGTACGTAAAGAATTTCCTCGCGAACATAAAATGGACCAAGAATAATTTTTTCTCAAATATATCCAAGCTGGCAATGTTCCAGAGCAT